AAAAAACATGCAGATGTGGCACTTAGGGACAGAGTAGTATTGGGTGATGGTTGGACTTCATGATCTTTGAGGTCTTTTCCAACCTTAATGATTTTATGATTTTGTTGTGGTGGTTTGGGGTTTGGTTGTTTTGTTGTTGGTTTTGGGTGGGTCTTGGGGTTGTTTTGTGTGTGAGAGTGCACAAAGAACAGCATTTGCTATTTTCCAGCCTCCTGTAATGCTACCTGTCTCCTCTCCTGCAACAGTGGGGACTCAGACTGATATGTTCCAGGGTAAAGCTCAGCAAACCTGTAAACTTCTAATTCACAGATATCATCTTAGTAATTCTGAAGCTAATTCCACTAGCTAGATCCCCACTGCAACTCATGCACTGTGGAGAACATAGCTGTGACATGCTATACCATTACCTTAAGGCTCTATGCATGCTGAGTTTTTCCTGGCAGTTTCTTCAAACTTCCACCTTACAGCTGCAGCTGTTTTCTTTCAGGCCAAGAAACATGGAAGCAACAAGAACTCACACACACAACACATCTGTTTCCATGCTATATCAATATATTGCCCTCATGATGTGTATCAGGCAAGCTGATGAAAACAACTTTACCTTAGAGCTAAAAAAAAAAACCACACTAAAATTTTTATTTCAGGAAAACACAAACCACAGCCTCTCTATACTGATCAAACATTGTAATAATGCTGTACCTAAAGAGTTAACAATTGTACTAAGCCCTGGGTAAGCTTCCTATAGGAAGAATATTTCTTCCTTTTCTTTTAAATTGAAGTATAAATTTGTTCTACCATGAGATATTCCCAGTACACCCATGAACCATGACAAGCTAAGGGTAGAGTTGTACAAAGTTTAATTCTCAAGGTTTGCAGGTTTGGGTTATTTAAAAACTAAAAATAACAGGGTTGGAATTTGTGGTCATGGTCAAACAGTGATACAATTAAGAACAGATAAAGCCACAACAAAATTTTTTGAGACTTGCAAGCTTGATTTTGTTGAAAGAGGGGAGGTACTGCCATTTAATCAAAAGCACAAAGTATCAAGTGTTTCTTAAAGTGAACAGAGAAGCCAAGGCTCAAAGAGGTCTGAAATTCAATGCAGAAGACTGCTTTTCTAAAGTACAGGCACCGTGCAGGAGAGATTGAAAGAAAGGAGCCCAACATTCATTTGCCTCAAAGTGTTCGTTACAAAAATACATCACTGGCAATGAGACATGCTTTGCAACTGCAGTACAGTCATAATATTTAGGACAGCAGGAGCTATTAGATGAGTCTTCAACTCAGTCACCACCATCTGAAAAAGCTCAGGCTCAGCAGGAGTACAACTACACCTTAGTCTCTCCCAACCTCAAGTGGGCTCAGCAAAGCATATCTATGAAAACAAAAAAGTTGGGTTGTTGTTCAAGAGATAAGAATTTAGCTCTTAGCATAGCTTTCAAAGTAGATCTTTTGACATGCCAAAGTGCTTGGAGCCTATCCAAAATTTTTTGTTTGTTTGTTTGTTTGTTTTTTGTTTTGTTTTTGTTTTTTTTTTTTCCTTCTTCCTTTCCCTCTCTCTCCTCTCCTTCCTTACAGTGGATTCATAAGCATTATTTGTTGTTTCATTTCAAATGTTTTTAAATGATATTTTGGAGTATCAAAGAGACTCCACAAACTTTTTTAACAACTGAAGAGGACAACATTAAAGTACATACATCAGAGTCAAACAACACTTATCACTGTTTCATTTGACAAATGTTCCAAGTAGCACAGTCAGAAAGAATCTGAGCAAAAAGAAACCTTTTGTCATGTAAAACAATGCTGTTGTAGCACATCCTCCCTAACACCCAATGGGCTTCAGAATAACAACCCCTTCAAATATTTCAGTTTTAGCATCTGACTAGAGAAGCCCTGTAGAAGACAAGGAAAAATTATGACAGGAGGTCACTTGGCTCTGCAGAGTGAGCACATTAGACTAGGGGAAATCCTGTTACACAGGAAAAAAAAAAAGTAAACACTGCCAAGCACTGAGTGTCTGAGTGCCCAGAGGGGACAAGGGCAAATGTGGGAATTGCTCTGGGGATCACCAGCCTTAGGGGGGGCAGCTCGTGGGAGGAAAGCAAAGCAACACAGGACATGTCAGATGTAGCAGGACTGGAGACTGCAGAGCAAGAGTAAGTGAGCTTATGGTACATTGGAAAATTACTGAATCTAGCTATAGTCACCTGGTATTGCCCTGAGAGATCAATAAGAAACATGATAGAGTCTGCTTCACTACAAGTCTTACTTTTAAATGCATCATCTTGTCAGGATTAACCTGACACTTATGATTAGACAGCACATTTTAGCCTGACAAAGTTCTTACGCAAGATAAATGAATTTTTACAAAAATAAAATGAGAACTGGATCACTTGCTGCAACAGTACACAGATTCCTTTTATACAGGGCAAGGAACACTCGGTAATAGTTGGTGACAGCACACAGCTGCTTGCTGAAGTACATGAAGCTGTACGAAAAAAAAAAAACCCACACAAAACAACAAAATGCAGCTCTTATCTGGTAGCTTAGGGAGCCTTTGGAGGTTTCTCATCCAGGCTCTTATTTGAGGTGGAGCCATCATCAACGCTAGACCAGGGACGTTGTGTTGAGCTAAATGCTAAACCTTTCCATGAACGGAGAACCACCACCTCTCTTATAAACTGTTTCCTGTCCTTTGTCACCTTCCCTGTACGCAAGGTTTCCCTGAAGCCCTTCCAGAACCTTCCATACTACAACTCAGACTGTAGCCCCTTGTGATATCTAGAGCTTGACCCCACAACCTTGTAACTACCCTCGCAACAGTTGTAGGCTCACATTAGATCACTCTCCACCATCTCTCCACAGGCTAAACCAGCCCTGCTCCCCTCCAGCTCTCTTCATAACTCACATGCTCTATGACCCAAACAACCCTGTTTTTCAGCAGCTCTTAAACCAGAAGGCCCGAAACAGGACACAGTATTTTGAGGCCTCTCCAGTGCCATGTCAAAGAGGTGGTAATTTCTCCCAATCTGCTGCTCATGCTCTCCTAAGGTAAGCCAGCATGTTTGTTGCCTAATGCACGATGAGCAGAGTGTTGGCTCGTACTCAATTTCATATTAAAAGAAAAAAGTCAATTTATGATTCATATGATGTTTTTTAATAACACAAATTGAGCACTGAACACCCAGAGGCTAGAAGAAATTCACATATATTTGACTAGTGTCATTGAAGAGTCAGGGTGGATAGGAAGTCAAAACCAGCATGCATAAGCAGAGGATAATGCTGGAAGCCCTTAGAAGTTCACATCAGACTGATACGCTTTTCCAGTCTAAAAGCAGTTCATTGGCTTTGAGGTCAGAAAGATGAGACTGCATTAGTGCTGGAAACCAAACATGGAAAGTCTCTGCCCTGAGTGCCAGCTTAGTTATTGAGAAGTTTCTACTGAAGTAACCTCTCAAATCCCATTTCACCCTGCAGACCTCCTCGCCCATGAAAAGGGTCAGATAAACAAGCAACTGCTACAGAGAGACTGCTTAACGTGCAAGTAGAAGGCACTGAAGCTACTCTATTAAAAAGACAACTGTGAGAACCTACACCAGCCTAGAAAATATAAAAAGGCTCCAAAAAGGGTCTTATATACATGTTAGCATACAAGGTGTGTTATTTTATATCTAAGATGGAGACTTTAGACTCAGATTTTTTTTCTTCAGATCCTGCAGGCAGTACAGAGAAAATGCGAGTATGAATTCATCACTGTATGGTCAGTATCAAAAGAGCCACCATACAATACTATTTCTGCAGGACAGGAATCTCAAACAGCAAAAATTATGACAGGTAGTGGATTTAGATGATTAAAAGTAGCAAAAGGTAAAGATAGAAAAGTGACTCCAAATTTGAATGTTAACCAAGGAAGACAGCTACACAGAAAAGGTTACCAAAAAATGCTTGTATCATTTTAAACTGCAACAAGAGACACTCCCAATATGAAAACAAGCAATAACCTGTGTTGCACTGGTCTGCCAGTCAATATTCAGAAATAATACCCTACAAGAGTTGACACAGCCTCATATTTGTCACAGAGGTTAGCACAGCAAACCTGTTCTCATCCAGACCTTTCCCTTTGGGAGTCAGCCAGCTGACTGAAAATCAGCAACAGAATCAGAAGTTACTGAGCAATTTATTAACTAGTAGAGCAAGTACTAAATGTCACAAATTTAATAATCACTGATTTGGAAGGCACTTTATCTGTAAAATACCTCAAACTAGGTTAAAAATAGTTCTTCAAATATTTTCATTCAGACCTTGTGACGCTGAGAAGTGCCCTTTGAGTATGTTACACACTCAGACATTCCACAGGTCTTTACATGCTCATGTTACAAATTAATATTCAACTTACTGACATAAACAAAACACAGAAGAGTGCAAGAGGATGCTTTGTAGGCACCCTGGTTCGCAGTTTTCTGTAAGTCTCCATCCACATTAATGATTCCCTGTTAATTCCTTAGCCCTCCCAAACTTGGCATTCCTTGTGACTTCTACATTTTCTCATCTCAGCAACTCCTAGTTCACATACATTGCTGCTGCTCAACTGCAGAGACTGTAGGAAGAGATTAGTCTGTGAAGGAACTGCAGCATTTTTGGAAGCTACAGCCCTTCTGCTTAGAAGTGAGACCTTATCAGATGGGTGCTCCTCAACCATTTCATGAGGTGTTCTTACCTAGAGAAGGTGAAACCAACAACGTGCTGCTGGGCAGGCTTCCTATGGTTACTAACTGTTATGTACCTTCAGCTTTTCAATACTAAGGACTTGGAGTTACCTGAGCAGTAGCTGGATTTTGTCCCCAGCAAGCTGGGCTGATGGAAGGAACACTCTCTTACACAAAAGTAATTAACAAGATTTCACTGAGTGCCGACGGGGCAAGTGTCACATGGTGCAACAGAGGTGGCCCTTCAGAATGAGAGCAGGCAGAAGCCAGGCAGCGCATTTAGCCCTGCAGTACCTGAGTGGAAGACGTATCTGGCTAAGCCTTGCATTAACTCTGCTGGCCAGGTAGGTGGTGCCGACTCCCCCGTTTCTCTCTTTAGTCGAAATGTCAGCTCAAATCCGAAACCACTTGGTCCATCTGTTCCTGTAAACCTGGAGGGAATGAAAAATAAAAAGTTAAGACATTCTTCTTGTAACCAGAGTAGGCCTCAAGATTAGGACCATGGAAAAAGGATCAGTGCTTTCCTCATAGAAAAGCTAAGTTTAGAAATCCTCTTATTTCAGTCTACTGTAGCTTGAATGGCATAACATTGTTAGGTTAGCTGATGTGATACAATTCCAGGGCTGACTATCATAGCAGTGTTTTCAGCCAGAATAACACAGCCTTGGAACCATCACTTCTTTCCTGGGACCAGTGGGATTTTCAGCAACCTGAATTTGTTTAAGACATCATTGTAAATTTTACGCTGAGAGCTAAATGGGAACACCAAAGTCCACCAAAGAAAACGTTATTCCACCCTTAGGAATTTAAATTTCTATACATTGAGCAATGGGATGTAACTAAAAGTACTGGCTAGTAGGTTTCTAGGTTGAAATAGCTTGAGTATTTTAATGTACAGCACGTTACTTCTGTGCTGTGGATGATCAGCAGGGGAGAGGGAAACAAGACGCAGGCAGAAGCTTAACAACTTCTCACACAATGCGCTAATTCTTATTTCGCTCCAACATACACCTGCACACATTCTCCTTGTATATCTAGGTCAACAGTGGAAAAGCATTGAATATGACAACTACTGTTCAAGAAGCAGTAATTTGGCCATTTCCCCATTTGACAGGTAGGTGCCAATTTATTTGGTTTGGTCAGATAGGGTCTCCCCAGGAGAATAAAGTCACAATCAAAAGTAACAAGGCTATAACAAAAAGGAGTAAATGAAGGATAACCCACATTACTTTTAGCTTTAAAGATCTAGTCCTCAATATTCCTTTATTATATATTTATACATATGTGAGATTTCCTGTTCCAAGACTCCAAAAGTTAAAAGTGCCACATTTGCCTGTGGAATATAAAAAACCTCATGAACAAATATGTAAGTTTGCAAACTTGAAAGCAAGTAGGGGACGTCCATGTGCTTTTTACCACTGTCACTGCATCCATCACTCATTTGCTGTGGCTCTTCCACAAGAGGCAGAGAAGGAAGAATTTACACTGCACATTAAAGACACCTTACAGATTTCCTTACCTTTATTTCATAAACCAGCATCATTATGCAAGGTCAAATCTCCAACACCTACTGCCACTGGCAAACTCTCTAGAGAAACTTTGCAGACATCTTGGATGCCAGTACCTTGCTGCCACATTTGAAAGATACAATGCAGAAAGTATTAATATTGTACTCCTTCTAAAAACAATCACAGCAATCAGGAAAGCGATAACAGCACTTTCCATTTGAAGAAGCACAGCTCACCAGCAGAGTGGTGGCCAGCTCTAAGTGTCAGCAGGATTGTTCCAACAGTATGGAGTTTGTTTTGAAGCAGAAACACTTTATAGTAACCCTGCCTAATGACAAGTTTTAAAACTGATCAGACTTCAACATCGATGCAGCCCCTTCATCCCGCACTGGAATTCCATTTGCAGACGTAACTGTTTGATGCTGACTGTGAGGGTGGTGAGACAGTGGAACAGCTTGATCCAGGGAAGTTAGGGACGCCTCCTCCCAGGCAGCGTTAGAGACCAAGTTCGATGGGGCTTTGAGCAACATGATCTAGTCAAGGTGTCCCTGCCTATGGCAGGGGGGCTGGAACTAGATGATCTTTAAGGTCCCTTCCAACTCAAACCATTTTATGATTCTTCAAGGAAAGTCTGATTATAGTAGACTTCTGAATTATGTCATGAAAGTAGTTAAGAAATGTACCCAAGGAAAGAAGTAGACTATGGGACAGCTGAAAGACAAAACAGAATTACAATGGCAGCAGTCCAGAAGAGCCTCAGCTTTACAGTAAAATCTGAAGTTGAGCATGTGCAGCAAGGAAACCTCAAAATTAGTATTTTGTATCTGTGCTTGGCTCCAGGTACAGAAACTGAAGGCTGCAACCCAGCATTAAGTTTCTGTAGTAAAAGATCTGACTATTTCAGAGATTGGTATATACACCATGGTTCTGCTGAACTCTGCAGTTTTGAGTGAAAGACTTTTAAATACCCCATAAATACTAAGAATGAAAAAAAAAAAACCACACCCACAAAAATCTGTGACTGAAACCAAGAGAGTAGATACTGAAAGTCAGTCAGACATCTGTAATAAAGGGAAGTAAACAATATACTAATGAAATAAAGCCTTTATTTGCTATAAAAATATACAAGGATGTCCATTTTTGTTTCTAGCCACATAATCCTCAATAAAGAATTTGAGAATTATGTACTACAGAAGCAAGTTCTCTATGAACAAAGCAGAAAACATATTTCAGAATAGTCAACTGGTAAATATAAAACCTCTTTCCATAAACAAACATACTTTTAAGCGAATAGTCAAATAATTACATTTGGTTCTTAAAGCAAGAGCTTACTGAATAACCAGCTGGCCAGGGAGTGAAATTTAGGTGTGTAGTGAAACCTGTGTTCTGCAATCATTCACACAGATCTACCAAAAAGATGGACACAGGATGGTGATAGCCTCACAAACGCGAAGTTGTACTTTGTACATTCATCACCCCCCATGTCTTTTATTAGTTTCACACACCAGTTAGCAAAGGAAAACCAGAACTATTTCTTAAAGGCAGAAACAAAAATGCTTCAAAATGGATAGTTTTCAAGGATTGACTCCAGGAAGAAGCATACACCAGAAACTGAAATGCATTATGAATGGGTCAATTTTAAGAAAGATCAAAGTCAACAAAACGCCTTCAAGCTGATCTTTCACAGTTAAATTTTTGGTAAGTAAGATGGCTCCCTATTGAATGTCCTCCTCTCAAGGCACGTTCTGAAACCACATAGCTTTACTTTAATATGCATTGAGCTACACTGAGTTTTTTTTTTAAAATTCACAGATCTCTTAAACAGTTATTTTGGGGAAGCAGAGTGAAGACCACACATGCTTCATATTGATCCATACACAAATGACTGAGTAACAGAAATGCTCAGATGAGTATCTATCAAATTTAAAGCAACACTGGCCAGCAACACACAGTCACAAAGGAGTAAAACTGACAGGCAGCGTTACATGACCGTTCTGTAGGGTAATGAAAAACTAATACAGAAAGAACTACTAGAAAATAGAGCAAAATATATATGGAAACAAGCAATAAGTTACTTCCTTTCTAAGACTGAAATCAAGAGATGTATCTTTTAAAAAAAAAACACTCAAAAAATGCAGCAGCAAGCAATGTTTATAATTCTCAAATTATTAGTTAAATCTCAGAGAAATCCTATTTCCATAGAAAAGATTTGCACTTCAAGATTAGATTTAAAATGTTTTTGAATAGTTAATGGGTCACAGGTTGCTGAAAATACACTGCTTTGTTACAGAGAACACTTAAATGCATGCAATTCACCCGTGTAAAAGTCTATAAAGTAAAGGTCTTAGATCTGTTTAATGTTAGGTTGGCAATTTGTTTTCAAAGAAATTTTGACATGTGGCTTTAAAGGCTTGAGATTATTTTAGAAATCCGTACTGTTTGAGACAGGTCTTTCATAGGAAGAAATACTCAGAATGTAATTAGGATAGTAATTTTCAATTAGTGTTTTTGCCACAGCTCTTGCTTTTATTCTTAAAAAGTCTTGTATTTGAAAGTAAGTTGAATGTGGTTTCAAAAGCTGCCATAAAATTTCTCTAAATGAACAGAAGACCATAATCCAGGACCAGAGCTCCTGGACAAGTTCTGGAGAATGTACATAAGCATGGAGGCAGACATGAACTTCAGGAACTAAATAAACCTAGAACCCTGCCACATGCCTCTGTCCCCAGGTCTACGGAAAATCACAGAGAAGAATCCAGTAGCCGAGTTACGCAGTTTGGCTTCTCTTACAGACACCCTTCTCATGAGGGAGCAAGGGCTTACACCAGCCACAACTCCAAAATTTGTGAGGACAAAGGTAACAGTTTGCTGGTGGAAAGGCAAGAAGCAGGCACAGGCAAGGAATTTGCCCAATAAGAAGCCCGAGACCTCCAGATACATGTGCCATATGAATGGGAAACCAAGAAAATGGCTTTATCTGCTACAAGGATAAGGAGACTCCTCCCTTACATCTGGGCTGTAAACAGCTGTTCAGTTCCCCAAATCACTTCTGTCCATTTTTGTTCAAGGCCTTATCAACAAGACAAAAGATGCACCTATAATAACCAAGAAACCCATCCATGACCAAGGAGCTAGTAAAGTGACATTCCCCATTTATCATGGTTTAGTGTCAGGGCTGCCCCCAGACCTGTAACAGATGCTCTCTGTTAACCCATCTCCCCTCCAAAGGGGAAGAGAAAGGGAATGAGGGAGAGAGACTTAATGAGAAAAGTAAACCAGCTTTAATGAAAATAATTTTTTAAAAAGGAATATATACAAATATAAAAAACCAGTCTCAAACCCAACTCCCCCTTGATGGCAGTATGACACCCACACCCATGATGCTGTGGAGCAGGCCCTGGGGAAAGGTCCCAGACTTGACTTGGCAGCAGATGGCAACTGGGTCCAGGAGCTGGGTTCTAGAGCTTGGTTCAGGAACACAGGGCTCTGGATTGAAGGCAGGATGGATGGAGTCCTCCTTGGATACTGGTCATTCAAGGAGCAGCAAAAGAGAAAAAGGACTTGACCCTCATGATCCGTCAGCTTTATACTGAATATTGGGGATATGGGATGGAATACCCCGTTGGTCAATTTAGGGTCACCTGTCTGGTCTGCTCCTCCCTGCAGGTGCACCCCTCAGAGTGGAACACAAGCTTTAGCAGTGACCTTGGTCTGCACACCAGTCCTTGGTGGTAACTCTAAACATGGAGTGTTATAACTGCTGGAAGCAGAGTCTGTGAAAACATGCTGTTAACTTCAGAAAGTGCAGAAGAAGTTAGAAGAGCTTTAGCTGAAAAATAAAATCATTTACCAGAATTAGTTCTGTTTTACCCCAAACCAGGAAACTCAAACAAGTAATTTATATCAAGATGTTCCATTGGAAC